ACACCCATCCATCCAGAATACATGAACAGTGCACAGGGGAAAAACGGTGACCTGCATTTAATGCTTGTCAATGATGAGTAGAAGACCTCACTGTGTAGTGTATGACAAACTTTCATAACAGAAGAAACTCATCAAACACTGGCTGGTCAATGGGCCAGCCTCTATGGCACCAAGGATTTCCTTACTACCCAAGTTATGCCAGTGGCACTGTAGCATGAGCGAATTCAACTCTCACACATGGCGACTTGGTTGCCTTCGTTGTGAATACTGCTGACAAACTGCTACAGCAGCCAATAGAATGAACAAACTCTCTGGTTCTAGAATGATATATTCACTGCCTGTACCAGCACTACTACCCACTCAGACAAGAAGTATAGATAGTCCAATCTTAGTGCCATTGCACGCAAGAATATCACTTTCCCTTATCAGTACAAACTACTACACCATAATCACTAAATGTCACTGATGAGTGATTAACATTAATGTTTCATATACAGGAGGTCCACCGATCACAGTGGCGGTGTGGTCCAAGGCCTGCTCGAACACTGGGATCGTGGGTTCAAATCCCACTCAAGTTTCACTGTCCATGTGTTAGGACTGCTTAGACGGTGCAGCTCATGAACAACTATGTCAATCATGTATCAGCTAATGAGGGACTATTTTTCACAATGATCCTCAGTGACAGTTCACTGAACAACATGCCAATACACAACATGCCTGCTAAGAAACTTCAGAAAAAATTCAACACTATATTTTTACTTCCAAATCTTAGCCACAAATTCTTAGTTCAATAGATGTAAATATAAACAATTAATTATGCAATTTGTGAATTCACATACTGCCAGCCCTCAATTTATATGTAACTGGTTGGAAAATACACATGTAAAGCTTTCCAATGTAGCATATAGTAGCATTTATGCTTGCAGTGCCTTATGTCTGCTGGCTGGTAGCTAGACACTGACGGGGTGGGAGAAAAAAAGGAAAAGGATAAGAGACACTCAGAACAGAATAGAAACCACAGTCAGTAGCAATCACAGACTTTCTGAAGCTAGAACATGCGCAACGGATGTTATCACTACAAGGGACTGTCGAATCACCTTTATCCATGCTTGTTGGAAATTTGGCACTTTGCCTTGCACATAAAAAATTAAAGAATTCTGGATTAAATACATGCAGTTGTTTTTTAATTAGTACTAACAATTGTTTTGGGGACTTGAACCAATGTTTTATACCAGCATACAGCACAGCCTACACACTCCACTATGCTAGTCATTGATGAACACTGAAGATGATATCCTTGCTCAAAATTTGATGCATAATTTTCAGAGAAAATACAATTAAAGTTCCCCATAATGTGTTGGCATATTACATTCAAATTTTAATTAAATTTTTTGCTAAAATTTTATCAAGGACACTTTTGTTCCAGTATTCTTCAAGGCATTACCTGGTGGAATCTATAGGTAGAAATACCCATATCATGTTAACACATCACATTTTCTGTAAAAATCAGGTTTTGGTTGAAATTTTTATCAAGGAATATTTCTGTCTCAATGTTTGTCAAGAAATTGTGTGGTGGAGTCTGCAGGTAAAATTTCCAGAAACCCCAAATGTTTCTTTAATTGTTAAATAAGCAGAAAGCCATCACTTACGTTGCCCATGAGATTTCTGTTGTATGTAATCCTTAAATTGTGATGTAAGCCATGGTTTTCTCTTTTAACTGACTACCTACACTTATTACAACAAATCACTTTAAATACAAATGCATTCTGGTTTGTCAGCCATCTTCTGTGCAACTTAGACTGTAATCTGTAACCACTCTGTTTGTATGATTTGTAACATATCCTGTACAAATCACACAGTTGGAAATGATTATAAACTATGATAGAAGTGGCAATGAAGATAGCTGAGAAGCTGAAACATGTCTGCTAGTGAATTTACATTATCTCACATTAAATTATCAATAGTAAACAACTATTTCAAAGTGCATCAACACAGGTAAAAACAGTAAATAACAGTTCCACAACTGGATTCAAAATGACAGTTACAAATTTTAACTAAAATAACACAAATTATGATTTTTTTTTTCACTGTTATGCAGCTGTCATTTTTGTAACCTCAATGTAAAGTGTAAAATTATACTCTTCAGATCAAATATTCGCATATTTTATGAACAAACTACAGATACCATGTACTGGATAAAAGGGCATGTGAATTGTGCAAGCAAATATTGTACTCATCCATATGTAAGAAAATTACCCCTGCATTACATCAACTTAACCAACTTAAGGCTAAATTGTGCAAGGCATGCTACGCTATTAGATTCTTAAGACCCTTTGTATCTCAANGGGGGAATTTCTCACATAGTAGCAATGTATTTAAACTACAAAAGAGGGTTATAAGAATTATTACGAATTCTGGAAATAGGGACTCCTGCAGGGACCTGTTCAGAAAACTAGAAATATTGCCGTTCTATTCTCAGTATATTTTTTCATTATTAAAATTTGTAATTGATAATGCTTCTCTATTCAAAACAAACTCTGAGATTTATGATCTTAATACTAGAAATAAAAATAATTTTCACCTTTCACTACCAAGGTTGGCAATCTATAAAAATGGTTCTTATTATATGGCTATTAAAGCATTTAATCATCTACCTCCCTACATAAAGGAATTATCAGAGGATAGGATCCAATTTAAAAATGTCCTAAAAATTATCTTTTATTGAATTCCTTTTATTCATTGAAGGAGTTCTTTGATGGTGAAATTTGGTGTTAAGGATGACATTGACGCTTTCACCCTATGGATGGATCTATGGAATTGGAATTTTACCTGATATATAGAATGAATTAGATGAATATAATTTTATGTTTTGATGAAATATTACTATAAATTTTATATTATATAATGAATTTTTATAACTTTGACTCATGCCTTAGCATACAGCTTGTTTATATTGTATCTGGTTTACTGTTATCAATTGTTGTATTGGAATATTGTCTTATCTCACATAATTTTGTCAATTTTATTAACCGTTAAGCGTGGTTTGACGTGTATGTTTCGTCAGGTATTTAAATCGTCTGGGGGGGTTCGACGTGTATGTTTCGTCCAGCTGCACACCTATGTTGTAACGCCCATAATAATTGATGGTTTTGCTGTAGATTGTTAGATTTTTCGCTGGCCTGTTGTCACAAGTACAGAGTATACCAAGCCACGAGTTTAGCTGAGCTAAGTCATCGTTACATATGCCTGTCTTGCAGCAAATTCGTGTTGCTTCTGGTAGCGGTTTCCTCATGCAATGGCGTGTTTTCTTTGCTATGAAGTTATAAACAGCAGAGACGTGATATGTGCTGTGTTTATAATATCATATTGCCCTGAGCTGGCCACACTAACACACTCAATTGGAATTCTTAGAAGAGGGATGTCCAAAAATTTATTCTTGCGAGATCGATT